TATAATAATATGCAGACACTAAGATAAAATAAAGTCTTAAGATACTTGTGGTGTAACGGAAAAAAAAAAAAAAAAACTAAAAGGAACTATTTATACGTACATTCTCATAATGGCACACATAAAGACAAAGATATAAAATATGAAAATATATACCCGAAAAAAAAAAAGCACAACCTGAGGAGAAGAGAAAAATAAATAAATAGTAAAAATAATAGTCAAACTAGGTTACAAAGATCATTGCTGTTTTATGTTAAAACTTAAACAGTAGGCACCACTATTTACTTCACGCAAATTCAGTTCATAAAATGAAATTTATGGTGGTAAATCTTCTGTTTGGGATGTAAGGAGATATTGGAAAAGGAGGTATTTGAAAGTTGACAGGGAAGAGGCATGACGGATGTTATGTGGCGAAGAATTCCAATAGGAGACGGAGCGGGCTAAGAAGGAACGTTCATAGGTTTTTGTCCTATGGAATGGAATATAGAGGTCAGAAACACGGGATCTCGTTTTTATTGAGTGGACTAAGGGTATAGGCTGGAGGAGACAACAGATATAGGAAGGGTGCTGGGAGTTGATCCTTTGGTATAAGAAATTTCCGAGGAAGTATAGGCGGCGGGAAGATGGGAAGAGGGACCACTTTGACTCGGCATATAGGTGGGACACATGAGACCATCTCGAAGTGCCGAAGACGAATCTTAAAAAGCAGTTCATGATTATCTTCAGTCTGTCCTCAAGCTCCAACGAGAGGCCACCGTATACCATACAGCCATAGTCAAAGTAGGGGAAAATCAATGAGGAAACGAGAGGAGAAAATTGCCATACCTTTTAGGCAATAAGAATATTTTGCAGCTGTCGTATATTGTTATATAGCGACTCAATGCTGCATTTTTAAACAATTTACATTCCTTCTCTTAAGCTCTAAATTGAGCTTGTTCATTCGTTCAGTTCAGTTTCTTTCAAATAATTTTAATTACCAAGAAATATTTCAAAATTGCTTTTCAAAGGGGCATTAGTGAATTTCTATGTATTATATGCTACACTATAATATGACTATAATAATTAATTCTTATTTATAATTAATTGATTATTATATAATGACTAAAAACCTTTAAAACGGTGTCTAAAAAATGAAGGAGAACAAGATAAAAAATTGCGGAGAAAAACTAAAGGACCCAGAGACTAATTTTGTCTCTTCTATAAAAAACATCTGATAAAGTAAAAGATACAATAAATCGATAGGAGAAATGAAAAGGAAATTTATTTATTTATTTGGTTGTAGTTTAGGTGCTGTGTGCAACTTTATAGGTTAGAGGCACCATATTGATTATTGAATTACATTTCAATATGTCTTATGTATGTAAAATTTTAAATGTGTTTGTTGTTACGATGTTTGTTTAAAGAACGTGTTGTTACAACTGAATAGGTTATTTCTAATTTACGTTGTGAAATTTAAATAATGAAACAACATGTAGAAACTTTGGCTTAATTTTCTTGCAAAAAGCAAAGGTAGTTCTCATTTAACTGGATTGAACTCAATTTTATTAACTTTTTTATTTTATTTTTAAATTAGCTTATTTTAGTTGACCACCTGTAATTGTATAAGTTCAATTTTTTGCTTTAAATTATTTGTAAAATTTTTTTTTTTTTTCTCTTCGACATTTCTGCCTCCGTATACCAGATATTTCTGGCATGATTCATTCTGTTTGTATTCTTATACGAAATAAATATTTATTTAAAAAGATATTAAAATTGTATAGAAAATATAAAGTTTGAATATGAGTAATATATATTAATAAAAATCGTTTATATATATGGTTCGTTCGCAATCGGTGATGATTTATTTTCAGTTCCAACCGAAAAAATCTTATGTGTATAGATTGTCCCGTAAGTAGAGAGACATATCTAAAAGGTTGATCTACATCAAGATCTACAAAAAAAAAACATATAAACGATAGCATAATTTCTATCAATAAAGTAGAAAATGTAAGATATGTGCTTTTTTAAGCGAGTGACGTTTTGTTTTGAACAGGAAGCGATAACTTAAAAAATATTGAATTTAAGAAATTAAACATTGCTCCATAGTAAACAAGACAAAATTTACTTTAAACGAAAATAGATTTTGTCAGTGTTAAAACTTTTTAAATAGAATTTTCGAGCGACTAAACACAGCTAAGTATCGTTAAAAAAAAAATCATAAATTATTTTTTTTTGTCCGTTATCACCCTTCAACGACAGGCGGATCTACGGGGGAGACGGGCTTTCGGGCTGAAGCCCCTCCCCCCAAAATGGTAAAATATAACCATGTTTTACAGAAAAAAATATTAAAAACTATCTCTTAAAGTACTCTTGATAGTTTAATTACATTTAATAGGACTTCAAGAACCACTTAAACACCACAAAAACACCATTTTTTCTAATTAATTATTATTATGTGTATATGAAAAAAAATCTTTTAGGGCTGAAGCCCCCTCCAACATTAAATCCTGGATCTGCTAGTGCCTTCAACTGTACTGCATTAAAAAACAACACAAATCTTGGATTTCCTACTTTTTTCCTGAAAATTTACCTATTGGTTATATGAACTTTTTTGTTGATCTTGATGTCTACTTCTAACCTTTTAAATATTCCCCTCTACTTACGGAAAACCCTGTATATGCATATTTATATTTACACAAAACTATATACACAATACCAAGTTCCGTTGTTATTCCAGCTTCTGAGCTTGAGATTGAAAGTTGAACAAATCAACCAGGACGAAGAGCGCACAGAGAATCTGTTAATTGATTCGTGGCTAAGGAGTGGACAGATTGAAGTGGCTGTGACCTAACAACATGTATTATGACAGCTGTGATCGTCGCAAGGAAACCATTTGGCGTCACCAGATACAGAAGAGGACCGGTCTCTATGTAAATGGACTGTTTACCAAAGCGGGGGTGAATGTGTAATAGCAGATGTAGAAATATTTAATCAGGCCATTTAATGAAAGGTCCTCTAGCTAGAGGTTTAGGATTTCACTTCACTCTTACAAGGATAATTGGCAATTACCTTGTTGACCTGGTGTGGTTCTGATTCTTTAGTGTCACAGGTTTTCGGAAAAAGAGTCGATATCTCTTGATATGCGAGGATATTTTGTTATCTTAACGTTATGATGATAAATGATGAAAATGCTTTTGTAAGTTGAATGAATTTTAATTTCAATATTTTTTGTGGCTGTTTTGGAAATAATTGCAAACAGTTGGTACGAATCTTATTGAAAATTTAATACCCACAAAATTAGTTGTTTATTTTGCTAAAAATCGGACCTGTATACTATAAGCGAGGGAAATGTTCTGCATTTCATCTACTTTGTAATGAGCTGTTATTAAAAATTGTATATTAACCCATCACCGTGTTAAAGAGTAGGAGAGGGAAAAAGATAGTGTCCAAAACCAAATGGTAACGAGTTTTATTAACTATCTCTATAATGAGCTATTATTTATAATTTATATTTCATATTATTAATCTGGCTTTGTTGATGTTACGTTTTCACTTCTATCGTGTGCTCTAAAGAACACACCTTATTTATTTATCTATTTATCTTTAAGAACTTAAAGTTGTTGAACTTTGTTTGTTGAAAGTTGTTTTGTTTTTATTTATTGTATATACTTTTTTATTATTATTTACTCGTTATTTTTCTTCTGTTTATTTTATATTTTCTGTACATATATTGTGGATGTGGTCTTACCTCACTACAATTATTGTATTCTCAATAATACTGGTACTGTCGTGACAGCGAACTATTTTCAACTGCAAGCGGTGCGAGGTGCCGTAGGGTGGAGCAGATGCACTCCTAACTGCTCTGATTGTTAGAGGTCCTTTAAATAGGTCCCATTGTCTTCTGACTGGGGGAGGTCTTTAGCACCATCAGCAGGTAGTCACACATCCAAGGCGCTGTAATCGATTGCCAACTAATCGATTTAATTCCAACGATCGCTGTATTCAATCACTAAATTGAGATAAAAAACTTCAGATTAAGTCGTTAATGAAAACTCTTTTTTCGTAGATCAGTCTTAGGGAACAAACTAATAACTGGGTCCAACATTTCCAACATTTGACATTTAATTAATTTTTTTTAATTGTAAGGTTCTCTGGGAACCAAGACTTTCTTAATAATAAATTTCTACTTCTTCAAATCAAATGCGTTCTTCCTCAATGCATGTTTTACAACTTTTTATACACATCTTTCCCGTTACTCTACCTTGTTCTTCAAGATTTTACATGATGGTCTAGGTAATCCGAAACCTCTGATAACCCGAAAAATAAAGAAAAACAAAGTTAAAGTTGACCGATGAGAGACTGATTGGAAATATCTCTGTTTCTCAGTATATATTACTGGAATTGCTTCGTGTGGTCGAGTCGAAATCGTATTGTGTTGCCTCTAAACAGAAAACATTAAAACTAAGCGGTCATCCAAAACTTGAGGAATCTCTTTATATGCCATTATTGCAACTGATATTGCATGTTGTCGAATTTCCGGGGATATATTTGCTGAAAAGTCAAACATTTTCTTTAAATTTTATTTACAACGACAAAGCAGATTTTAATACCAGTAAACTTTGGAATCATAATTCAAAAGCAGCTATGGAATAGGTCTTTTATATTAATTTTTATTTCACTGGAAAATTTCTCTAAGCCCTTTTTATTTTTCATTATAAGATAAACCACAGAAACTTCACAAAGGCATTTAATACTTCTCTGGAGTGGGAAAATATATGCAACGCCGACTAAAAAGCTTACACTTTTAAGGAATCTGCCTGATCAGGCGTATTCTTTATCAACGAATAAGAGTCTCAGCATACATTACATGATCATTTTCAGAAATAATTTGTTTGTTTGCAATGTCTTTATATTTAAGTGATAATACTTGTTTAATATTTACGGACAGCTATTCATACCTTAATTAAAACTCTATTTAATTATTTCTTACCAACATACATAATAATATAAATATGTTTGTTTAGATGATATGGTCTGACGCCTTCTTTGAGATGGACGGACATTTGGCCGAACTCATCGACTCTTCCTGGAGGACCGACCAACTTCCCCTCGACGAGATTGAAGTCCCCGCTATCGAATTGCCAGACCCAGAAGCTGACTTTGGACGCCCAGGATCGGAGGAAACGATGAGGGAAATCGAATCCAAGTGGAGGGATTTGAATTTGCAATCGCTGAGTCCGAACTTCTCTGATTAGTTTTTATGTTGACTACTTCTCAAATTATTAAAAATTCGTGAGGATGATACTATTATACATGTCCCTAACAGAAGTTTCTCGTAAATGCATTTTGTTTCCCATATCCAGACATCCTCTCCAATAATAAAGCTGAGGGACTGCTTCCAGGAGCCCAAAAAAAAAAAAAAATTGACAAAAACATTTTTTTACTTGGAAAATTAGGATTCTCGAAACTATGTCCCAACATTAATTGAATAAACATTTTTATTTTAAAAAGTTATATTAATTTATTATGAGAAGTTAATGAAATAAATAAAATTATGTATTTTACTTAAATATTGGTTTGATTACTCCTCATTTTCACGGAAAAGGCACTTGTTATCTAATAATCTTACAAGGTTTACCAATAAGGTTTATTATTATTTGAATAAATTAGCCAATTAAAAACTATGAATCTTTTTTTTTTCTGAATTATGTTTTTTATTTTTATTATTGAAATTTACAGCTGCATAATGATAAATACAACTAGTAAATATGAAACAAGTAACCTGGCATATACAGCATGAAGAGGAACTACCCATTGGCAGTCCTCCAATTATATTTCTATATTAGAAGGTCCCGAGGCCATCTCGTTTCAGACGCCTCGGAGGGTTATCAGGTATAGAAGAGGAAGCAAGGTTAGAAACGAGAGGGTTCGGAAGTTTATTATGGAAGGATAGGTATCTGGATTGGGCTAAATCGGAAACATATGGTACATTCAGGTCGTTGTGGATGATTTTATTTGTGACAAAGTAGGGATCATTGATGATTTTACGAAGGATTTTGGATTGCTGGGATTGGATACTAGAGGAATTTGATGGTTTGTAGTGCCCCAAAGCTCGCTGAATTAACTATGTGGGAGATTATTTCATAAAATTTATTCTTATTTATTTATTTATTCGAGTGTTTCGACCACTGGTGTCATTTACACTAAAGTCGCTTTAGCCGCTGGCAGTTATTTTATGGTATATGTCGATAGTTTTTAAACATTTAATAAGCCGTGAAGACGTGCCTGGGTCCTGTCTCAAAATTTGTTTTGGGTCTGTGGAAAATCTGTAGGAGTCGTGAGCCATACACCCCGTTAGTATGTGAAGCACTGTTCGGTTACACCCACAGTAGGAACATGTTGACAATTCTTCCTTCTTCATCAGACATCCATGGATAATCAGACAGACAGCGGCCAATCCTGGGGGAGAAAGAACAACCTCTTCTCTCCGTGGTAGCTGTAGATATTTTCTAGGCTGTTTTACATATTGTTCGATCTTTATTAATTTATTTTCTCTCATGTCAAACCATTGATTTTGCCACTTCAGCCATCCCTTTTCAATGACCCAAGTTATTCGATCGTTGTGTTCAATTATTGAAAATACTTCACAATTTTTTATTGTTAGTTTCGCCTGTCTTATGATATAAATATTTTATAAATAAGTCTTTCTGTAAATAATTAGTTTTTTCTTCAAAATTGTCTTGAAGCATCATAATCATTATTAAGCATTATAAAAATCCATGGTGTCATTTTCAATGATAAAATAAATATTACTATCGTAAGTTTGTAAAGAATTAAATCGTATTTTAATTAATTAAATAATAACTGAGTAATTAACTATTTAACAATATTTCTCACTTCTTCTTCGGTGTATTACGTTTATTTTCAAGTTTATTTATTATCAGCCAATTTTACACCAATTTTTAATTTTGTCAACATAATGACTTCACCTCAAATACGACGTTTCTGCTCGTCGGGGCATTATCAAGTCTAAAAAATTTTTTCAATTTACAATCATATCTAAACTTTACATGTTTCAAAATATAAAGTTTTTTTAAATATCTAATTACCCATCATGTACCTGTCCTTTTTTCACTTATGCGAATTGCATGCGCCTACTCATAATAAAATTTTTTATTCAGTGAATAGAAATAAGACTGATGACACATGATAAGGTAATTTTAACTTATTTGAATCAATTAATAAGAAAGAATAATGATGTTATAAAATATTTTTTTTAAATTTATTTATTTAGAAATATATTATAATAGAAATCTGTCACGTGGACAATAATTATAGTGATTTATGATGTAACACATTCATGCCATATATACAGAAAATATAAAATTAAGAAAATAAAATAATAATCAAAAACTATGTACAAAAAAAATAAAACAACCTAAAGATAAATAAATTAAAAACATAAAAACACAATCATACCTCTATACAATATATACAATTAGGCAGGGTACCATAAGCCAGGCTTCTCCTTCCAACTATACAAGGAAAACCGGGACTTTAAGAGATCTCTGCGCTACTCTCTCAACCGCATCACTAAAGCCAGTGGAGTTTGAGCGAGAGCGCTATAAAATAATTAAAGGTGGACATGACAAGAATAACAAATTTTATTATGAATGGACGCATGCAATTCGCATAAGTGAAAAGGACAGGCACATGATGGGTATTTAGGTATATAAATCTTTATATTTTGAAATATGTAAAGTTTAGATATGATTATAAATATAAAAATTTTTTTAGACTTGAAAATGGCTCCGAGTCGAAACGCCGTAATTGAGGTGTGTAGTCATTTGCTATGTACCTGGACTTCGCGTTTCTACGGCGAGTAGGGGGTTCCAGGAACCGCATTTATTTCTATTAAATGTATTTAATACTTATATTTATTTGTATTTATATCGGTTCCAGAAGGGAACCGATCAACAGAAAAATATATGAATTATGTATTTAAAGGTTAGATACCACAGACCCAAGGTTAGATACATAGCACATTAAGTTGACAGAATTAAAAATTGGTGTGAAATTGGCTGATAATAAATAAACTTGAAGATAAATTATTTCCTTATAATAAGGATATGATGACGTGTTATTTATTTTCATAATGAATTAATTATATTTATTAGTTATTATTATATTTATTAGTTATTATTATATTTATTAGTTATTATTATTATCATATACTGCGAACAGATTGATAACTACTGGTACCAGACTATATGGAACATACTGCCGAGGGTGAGTCACGTTATCGAGCGGTCACGGCCCGCGGGCGCTCCTTAATCACAGCAGGGCTCCTACGAGGGTGATGGGAGGGGGGAGCAGTCCCGGGGGGGTTGCTTTTTTCCTCTCCAAGGGGCGAGTAACTGCATCTATCCTCTACTGGGGAGGGGGTGAAGAGGGGGTAGCGAATATTCATAAAAACCCGACATAATATTCAAACAATAAATACTGTAAGTCTTTTTGGATCGTGATACACAGACATAGTGTTAGTATATACAGAAGATAGCTATTTTTATGTATTATTTTTCAAAAGCAAAATAGAACAATCTGCAATACTTACTTTATACGCACTATATATGTTTGGCATTGTAGAATTCAACCTAGAATAAGTTACAAGCTGCTTTCAGAGGTAAAAAGAAGTAGATGAGCAAATGATTAAATTTAAATCATTAATTAGTGTGCTATTGCTGACAGAAACCAAAAATCTAAACACAGGATCCAGTAACCTTAACCTGAAAAGGGTTCTTCTGTGGGCTGTGACGAAATGTAAATTCCAAATTTTCGACTTCCGTGGTCTCCCGAATCACTGCTGAATATTTCAAAAACTGTTTTCAATCGCTGACTCCGAAGTTCTCTGATTAGTTTTTTATGTTGACTAGTTCACAAATTATTAAAAATTCGTGAGGATGATACTATTATACATGTCCCTAACAGAAGTTTCTCTTAAATGCATTTTGTTTCCCATATCCAGACATCCTCTCCAATAATAAAGCTGGGGGACTGCTTCTAGGAGCCAAAAACAATATATATTGACAATAACATTATTTTTTTTACTTGGAAAATTAGGATCCTCGAAACTATGTCCCAACATTAATTGAATAAATATTTTTATTTATAAAAGTTATATTGTTTTATAGTTTACAAATTTATTATGAGAAGTTAATACATCATTTAATACAATAAATAAAATTATGTATTTTACTTAAATATTGGTTTGATTACTCCCCGTTTTCATGGAAAAAATACATATTATTTAATGATCTTACAAGGTTTACCAATAAGGTTTCTTATTATTTGTATAAGTCAGCCAATTAAAAATTTTGAATCTTTTATTTTTTTTTTTCTGAATTATGTATGTGGGAGATTATTTCATAGTCTTATTTTCGAAATTTTTAAGGATTTTCCCTATTTTGACCATGAAGTAGCAAGTTTTAGACAAAAATCATTTTATACATTTTGAAAATAGATTACATTTAATACAATTTGAGATCTGAATAGGCTCGTTAAACTATAGAGGTTCTGAGCTATAGCTCATAGATATGAATATACAGTGTTGGTCATAGAAATTGCAATACCTATTTCTTTTGATTTTTATTTTGATAACTTTGATTCCATTGAATGATGTTGTTTTACTTATTTAGATTACAAGAAAACTCAGTTCAGTTTTAACTAATGTCAGGATAAAAGCTTAAAGACTTATATAATTGCAGGTTGTTTTCAGTCTTCAAACACACACAAAAAAAAAATGAATTTTCTTAAAAAAAAAGACTATGAAAAACTTAGAAAAAAGTAATCATAATTTTATTGTTTGATGAAAACTAATAATAAGTCAATTTAATTAATATTTAGGTATCTGAAATTCACATTTTCTGCTTAAAATTGTTTATACATTAATAATGATTTTGTAAACATTTAATGTAAATTAAATATGCGGATCCCAACTAAAAAAAAAACAAAATATTTTGTAAAGGTATAGGCCATTTGTTGCTTGTTTACACTATAATTTTACCCTTTTCAAAAAAGTCATGCGGACTTGTATATATGAGCATGTGGGATGATCACATTTTCAGTCTTAACTTAAATCAGGTCTCCTCAAAAAAGTATATATTCTACTTATAAAAGGATAATAAAAATGTAGATTGTGGTTAAAAATCTTAATGCTTACATCAACCAAAACGTTTTTTTATCTTGGACTGGGAGT